CCCCCCCCAGAGGAGAGGATGGCCATGCCACACTTCTCCTTCTTTCTATTCTCAGGATTTTAGGCATGCACGCACCTATGCCCAGAGTGAGTTTGGTACTCAAACTGTGGGCAACTACATGGGAGTCTAGTAACCTAACCATTACACTATCTGCTGGACCCACACTTAGCATCTTAAAAAAGGTATCTGGTTCAAACAGAGTGAAGATGGTCAGTGGTGCTGAGAAAAATAGGGAAACTGAGATAAAAACGAGGAGAGTTCTGTTTACTTGTGAAGTTCCCACTTCCCGCACTTTGTAGTAAGTATAATAAACTCATTCAATTCGATTCTGACTCACATGGCCCTTAATTTGCATGAAATGCTCATTAGCCACATTTGTCCGGAGCTGTGATAAATGACAGATTGCTGCATTTCCTACTGTTTTAACCTAACGTCTTTTTAGTTTATTTCATGTAAAATTATATATAAATTGTATAATATCTTATAAGAATGCAGGGTCAAAGATTTTTTAACATTATTTCCCTACTGCCTTTGCAAAGTATTCAAGTCCCAAAGTGCGGAGGCTTCACTTCTTTATGAGTTCTAATTTAAGTGGGAGTATTGGGTACATCATTATTTTTTTTGGCTTTTTCTTCTTTCTCACTTATCAGTACTTTTAAGCAATCAAAATATTGACCTATTAGCATCAAAACTTACCTTGCAAATTGAATTGCTTTGAATGTGTTTGTGAGGTCTCCACCACGCTGGGCTGTCTTGGATGTTGCTAAAATCATTTCATCTTTGGTTTTAAAAGTGTTCAAATCAAATATAACTCTTGGATCATTGGCATATTGAATCAATCCCACCTTCAAAAAAGCAGTAGTTTATTAGTGGGCTGTCATTAAGGTCTAAATAATTTATATTTAAGCAGTATAATAAAAATCAAAAGTGCACTTATACATTGGCTGATAGTTTGGGGGCATCTCTTCCAACTTTGGTCTTGACAGTTCTTTTTCTTTCAGTGGAATGTCTTCTCTGTTAGAGGTCATCAGTATATAACAATAACAGTATTGCCAAGCAAGTGACACGTTACAGTTTATGATGAGGCTCTCAAGAGTAATATTTGTACATTTTTAAGGACTTCATTATGAATATAAATAAATATTAGAATGAGGTTTATAACAACAGGAAGATTAAAAATGTTATAAATACAAGGGGTTTTCAAAAATTCATGAAAAATCCACATTATGAAAAAACTTCATAGATTTTAAAAAATGTTTGCACTAAAATAAACTTGTACTTTAATTTTATTTTTCCCAAGAAGACTTTGAAGTACCCTCATAAACTTTCTAATTACTGACAGATATAAGTTTGTAAACAACTACATATAGCAACATGTAAAAACTCTTGTACATGAAGGATAATGTCACATCAGTTAAAGACAATTTTACAATAAAGAATGAGAGTTGAATACAAGGAAAAAAATGTGCTTCTTCTCAGTGTAGTCAATTTGGATATATTTATTGTGCTAGATTTCCTCTACTGTAGGCTTTAGCACCTCTGGAGGAAAATCATTACATGTGCACATGGGGCAGAAAACATGTCATTAGAATCTTATTTGAGGGACCAGCACATGGCATAGCGGTTACATTGCTGGAATCCCACATGGCCAATTGTAGTTTGAGTTCCAGACCCAGTGGCTTGAAAATCATGCCAGGCACATGTGCCTGAGTGCCCAAGATCCTGGGAGGTGAATGGAGAAAAGATTGCAGCATGGTCAGCCCCCTCAGGGGGTGATTTCTTACTTTACTTCTCACTCATCTCTCTCTTTCTCTCTCTCTCTCTCTCTCTCCCCCCCTGGTGAGCACATGAGCCCTAAGGCAAAAACCTCTTAAGAAAAAAAAAATCTTATTTGAGAGAGAGTTGGTGACACAATGACATCTACACAAGATATTCAGGGACATACCCTAACCCTTTAGATCAAGGTCAAACCCTTTTTTTTTTAATGTCCATCTTTTCAGGTCTGGAAATCCTCCTTTAAGCATAGGAGACAGGGGTTCCAGAACAGGCAAGGGCAATAAGGGATCAGAGGTCAGAGACTCTCTGAAATGTAAGAGGCTATCTGAGGTCACTTTCAGGCCTGGACCCCTGAGTGCAATCTATTTTTTTTGCTAGGGTGGCAGCTAGCAGGGACTGTGAAGATGGTGAGAAATATGAAACCCCCTAGACCCCTTTCTGTAGGCTGTGGGACTTGAGAGGGAGGAAAACACTAAAAAATAACTTAGAGAATTTCAAGGTCTAATATGAGAGGAAATTGGTAGTAACCCTCATGACATAGCCTCAGAACTTCTAGATGAGAAAAAGAGAGATATAAAGAAATGTGGTATATTAGGACTTACAAAAAGGTCAACTGTAGGTTGTAAGGAAAGAGATTCACTTCTTGAGAAGAATAAGATTCATTGTGGTAGGAAGACAGAAATAAGGAAGGCCATGAATTTTATATAAGATACTATTAAATAAGTCATATTCTGGGGTAGAAGAGAAAGGCAACTCCTCCTCAGATTCACAGAAAATAAGCACATACATGTGAAATATCCTCTTATGTGAAGCCTTAACAGTGGAGTTCTCCAGAAACCAATATGATGCTTTGTCTTATTTACCAGAATTTTCTGGTCAAAGCCTATAGTGACACCTTCAGAGTTTCAGCAAACATTAATGTCCTTTTATATTAAAAAGTGATATAAATGGGGGGGTACAGAACACTATTTTATAGTACTATATAGGAAGCAGAAAAGCAAACATCAATAAAGATGACTACAAAGCATTTAGAGAGAAATACTCCAACAATTGTTATTAGGTCGACGTTGGCCCCTGGAACATTAGATGCAATCCAAGAACACACAAAAGCAGATCTGTGAACAGGCCCCTGTTGTTATCAGTTCAATGTGCTACTAAAACAGAATGACCCATAAAATGACAGATCTGATCAGAATTTAAATACAACAAGAACACTCAAAAACCAGGAACTGAACTTTTGAAATAAATGACCTTCAGTCTTCTTACAGAAGCATTAACTTTTGCTTCTGAGTTTTGGCAGCCTGCCTCATGAAGATGTAAAAACAAATGAAAAACTGGAAACATGGGAAGCCATATTGAATTATTGAAAAGGATTGTCTTTGGTAAAGAAAGGATAGGCTGGACTAGAACATGACAAAAGAGTGTAAAACAATAAAAAGTATGATTATGCTTAGTGACTTACATTAAAAAAAAAATCAAAGAAAATTATTTCACCAGCCAAGAATAAACCAAAGAAATTGCTAGTCCAAATGGACATTAAAAAAATACATATCAAATATTAAAATGCATTCATTAATAAACTCACAGGTTAGAGGGACAGAAGTTGGCAACCAAAAGAAGATCAAAATACTATATCCCATGCTTTTGATGCCTGCATCAGAAAATAGAACTCTAAGGTCAAAAGAGTAGCACTGAAATGGCCAACGTAGTACAAGTTTCCATTAATTTTCAAGGTTATCATTACATGCATTTACTACGAGGCTTTAGCAAAGTCAGAAAATTAAGACTTCATATCTAACAGTATTTTCTCAGGAGGAAAGTCAAGAGTTAGTTAGCTTACATATTACTGATGTCCATACCTGTGTTTTCGTGGGGCCTATATCCAAGCCTTGTACAAATTTTTCCAAAAAATTCTTGACAGCCTCCCATGGATAAATACTGTTTGATTCATCACATACAACCACAACGTCTACGAGGGAAGGGCAGGCTACATAGGACAAGAAAAAGAGGAGATTTCCAGAAGTAAGTCAGACTTCGCACCCCTATGAAAACAAGATCTAAGGAGGGGTCGGGTGACACTTATTGATATACTTGTTCCTCGTCTAAGTGTCCAGCATTGCTTAGCCCTTCTGTGAACTTCTGCGACCTTCTGTGTTAGAGAGAAACAGCCCAACAATTGTTCATAACTTACTCTGAACTGCAGGTGAAAAGCTGGCCAAGAGCTGAAAGTCAGGACTAACATCGGAGCAGACGCCGGTGGTGTAATACTGATTTCCACACTGCTGTGCCCACAGGGGGCCACATGTCTTCAAAGAAAGGAGAAAACAATAAATGGAAACATGGAACACGTCAAGCCTCTACTTCTTTTGTGAAACTCAGAAATCTTTCTTTTTCAAGATATTAGGAATTATTAACCCTTGAAACTGACAAGTCAAAAAAGCCTTTGAATGAGAGTCCGCCCACGAGGCAAGCAGTCATGGTGGAGAAGGTGGCAGATGTTCTGTGCCCAGCAGGCCTCCCAGGAGGACGAGACCTGGGACCGTTGGGGCAGGTGGTGAAGGAGGAAGGAGCCCATCAGGTCACCCACAAGCTAGGGAAAAGGGATGCTTTCCTTCCAGAGAATACCCAGAAGGAAATGAGTGCAAAGCTGACTTCTTGTTTCCCAGTTACCTTGCAGGTGCTTCATCTGTAAAACGAGGATAATTAGACCTCCTGTCTTTTAATAGCGCCATGAAGACCCAAGTGGGTCTATACACCTGTCACTTAGAATAGCACTAGGGAAACAGTAAGTGCTATAGTTGTTAGACAGCGTCATTAACATTGTTATTACTGAACAGAGCTTCCTCCTGCCCCTTCTGTTCACACCAACCAGCAGAAACCACAAGCCCAAGTGCTCTGAAGGACGGAGGAAACTGTCCAAGAGAGCTCGGGACATCGCGGTAAATGAAGAGCTATGGCTTGACTTCTGTACAGGCTCACGCTGTGGTTCCTGTCCACCTACTGATGTAAAATACGGTCTGGGTGGCCAGATTCCCCAGTTTTTCACAGAGACAAATTTGACATGAAAATCCACTCTATATGTTAAACAGACACAAATGAGGTTCATGCACTGCTAGTTGTTTTGCTTTTGTCTTTAATTTTTGCTACAGAGCATGTACGCTGACCAGAGATGGAGAGAGAAGGAAAGTGAAAAAGCAACCCCTGCAGGAGATGGTCACACCACAATTCCTTCTTCATTCTCCTCTAGGGATTTGGGCCCATACCCACATGTACCCGGTGTGTTTTTCAAGCCAGCAGGTCCAGGATTGGAACCTTACATTCGGCCATGTGGTATCCAGCTACCTTAACCTCCACACCATCTGCTGGCACCCCCTATGGCCAGGTTATAACTTTTCTGTAAAGTATTTCTTTACTCTGTGGACTTGAGGGTGCTTATTTCCATTTTCCAATTTGCTTCAGGCACCCATGTGACTGGCACTTGTCTCCCTGTCCACATTACACAAACTCCAATCATAACTTCTTCATTAATGCAGTTCCAATCATCTTTGCAGCAGCCTTTGAGTGCCAAGAACTCATGATTAAATCACATGGGAAAGTTTAGAATTAAAATGCTTAATTGTTGGATGAAAAGGGAGAACAATGGGAAAGAGAAATCTGGTCAAGCTCCTAAAAAAAATCTACAAAGTTTCACATTATGTAAAACTATGAATCAATGATTAAACCTTAATGAAAAGTGTGGACATGCAAAAAACAATAGGAGAAATGGAATCTATTTGACCCACTTTAACTGTTCAAAGGGGAAGCTGCCGTAGTCATATTTCATGCTCAGTGAACAAGGCATAGTTTCCCCCTATAAAACTGACTCATTTTGCCAATTAGTTAGGAAAAATTATTACTGGTGCCTTTGGTTACTTTGCCAAATAACAGCTACCAATTATTGATTCTTGTATCCCCATTCCTAAGGTGTTTCATTCATCTAGAAAAGTAACTCACGAAGTATTAAAGATCGTTTTTTTTGTTTGTTTCAAAAGCAGTGGAAAACAGCAGTAAGTTGAAATTAGAATATGCCAATTGTTAATGCCAAA